GCAATAAATCAGCTTTGAGGAACCTACCAAAAATTAAGCATTGTTTGAACTGAAACTTAAGCTCAAATAAAATAAACCTATAATGATCAATAAAATAATATGCTGTAGAAATTTGGCATGCTTGGTTCATTACTTTCTCATTGCCAGGGTTATAAAAAAAATTTGTGAAAACGGCTTAGATTCCCAACGTGCTCTTGAATTTTACATATCACACCAGTTTTGAAAGAATTCAACCCCTTGTCAGTACTTGTGGATAAGAGCAAATCAAAGAACTAGACCAGATCTCTGTAGTAATCATTTATAGTCTGTGTGTATGGTGTTGGTGTTTACTTTGGTCACCATAAGTTACCTGTATTTATATAAGTATTTGAAGACACGGTAACATTGATGTTACAAATAAATGGTAGACAACAACATCACCACTAAAGAAGGCCTAGTCTTGTTCTTTGTTTTGTCCTTTCCCAAAGTTATTGATAAAAGGTGGAATTTCCTGAAACAAATCATTTCAGTAATATATCAACAAATACAGGAATTGATTTAATTCCTGTATTTGTTGATATATTACTAAAATGATTTGTTTCAAGAAATTCTACCTTTTATCAATAACCTTGGCCTCACATTTTAATTTTGCCAAAATTCACTTGTCATTAACAAGAAAGCAATTTAAGAATGATAAGACCTCAAATCTTATAAAAATATATTGATGGTATAGTCTTTATTTGAGAAATCATTGCTGAATCACTTGTAAGCATTTGTGTACAAACACTTTCAATGAAATGAGCTAGTTTAACATTGTCTGCTTTTCACATTGAAAAAAATAACTTTATGCCACTGAGTTGTTCAGAAAAGCAGCAGACAAACCACTGTATTTACTACTAAAATGGCTTCCATGTCAATATTAAGTATCACTTACAGTCAATTTCTCCATATCAAGAAAATTTGCACAAATGAGAATAATTGTAAAATTATGTAAGATAAACCACAACACAAAAAAATGCCTTCACGATTCTGATTTGTTCATATTGAAAAAGCCAAAAATACTCAACAGTAAAAAGTTTTCAAACAATCCAGTGACAAGAACAAAAAAGTATCAGTGTTCCACACGTAATTAACTATTATCCAAAAGTAAAGACCATCACATGAGCATTCTAAAAAGTTTCCATTTAAGTGTAAAACTAACTTTCCATGGTATTCTTCTTCTCAGAAATTGTCATCTTCAGTATAAGAAAGTTATCATGCTAATAAATTGGTGACCCGAGTGATAAGTTAGTATGATAATGTCACCATTAAAGCCAATATCAACATGAAACTTAGCACACTTGTTGATATTACACTCTTCCATAGCTTGATTTTTTTTAAATTCAAAAATATTCACCAATTGTCTTGTTATGAGTCTAATTACCACTAACAAAGCCATTAATTAAAATTAATTGCCCATATCTCGTTAACATTGTAGAAAATTTGCAAAGTTTTTAATTAAAGCTATGATGATGTTTACAAAGATCATGTGTATCAATTTTCATGTTTTTATCATTCCTAAGTAAAGTTATGGTGTTAAAACAGTATATGTTATGTATTTCTTTATCTGTGCCACACTAATTATGTATACGACTGAAAGTGTACTTTTAGTGATTGTAACATCATACTTTTGCATTCAACTTGAAGGTTATAAGAAATGTTTAACAGTGTTTTCTCAGCATTTAAGTTTGCCCAGTTTTAAGGGTCAGTGCTACCTTAATGATAAATATTATATTAACTGTTCTTTTGATCTATTATGGAGATGTTATTTCATATTTTATAAAACTTATCGAATGTTGCAATTAGGAGTCACATTCTTCAAGCAGACTCTGAGGAGGCTTGCCAGCAGTGGATCACAGCACTTCAAGCAGGTATTAATGCCGCTCTAAACCACACATTACATGCAGACAGCAGAAGTGAAGATGTAAGTATGTTAAATGTGATTCTGAATTCATTTCTTAGGGTTAATTCTATATTGAAAATCAATTTTTCTAGCCTTTGTTTCTTTTGCTGAAGCCTTCAAAGGGCAAGGGAGCAAGATTAAAATAAAATAATGTTCATGGAGAAATATCCTAGTTTTTATAAGCAGATAGTTTTTTATTGGAGAAACGTAATTGTGTTTGCCGTAGTAACATAACATTAATATTTGAATAGTTCTGAAACCTGTATTTTTATATTTATTGTAACATAAACATAAAGTCACCAATTTTGTTATTTCTGGATAATTCTTTTAACCAGTATTATAAAAAATTGTAATGTGATAAATGTGCCAATATGAAAATTGTCTGATTACCAATTAATCAGTTGCCAATAATCAGCCAGTTATTTTATATTTTTTGTATTATTACCTAATCCTTTATCAATCATTATAAATAGTGTTAAGTGACAATCTGTCTCCACAAAATGATCTTTTAATGTGACATATTGTTTTGTGAATGTTCGACTCAGTACGCAGATCATTTCATAAGTTGCTAAAACTGTTAGAAACAGACACGTGCTAAAGATGATGTCTAGGCCTGGGACATTTAATTTCTAGAAATGATTATTTGAAAACTAAGTTGTATGAAAACAGAGAAGAACCAACCATGCATGTATTTTTAAGGCTTTGATAATTTTTAATGTGGAAGTAATATGTCAATGCTTTGGTGAACTGACAGAATGTAACATAGTGCATGGTTAATTCTCCATTCTACTGCTAGTAGTAGGATGATTATAAATTCCATCATGTCCTCAGGTTCAGTAATTTGTGATTTTTCATGGTCATTAGGTATAATAATTACAAAATTAAACAACATTGATAATTTTCAGTTTGTTTTGCACTATCGTATGAATGAGTTTTTTGAATGGGAATTAATGCCTTTGAGTGAAATACTTTTCCTTCCTCACCTCTCACAAATTTGCAATAGGCATATTCCAAAACTCCAAGGCTCAGTATTGGTGAGCATAATTCCTCGAGTCAATGTTTTTTTTTATTCTCAGTACACTCACCTGACACAAAAACTATTAAAGTTAACAATTTCATGTAATATGTTAGTGTCCATGCATATGTGATACTTTTGATCGAAAATTTTGATCTTACTGTATATGTAAAAGCAGGTACTCAAACTTGAGTTGAACATGATATGATATTTTTACAGGATAATTTATACATAATTTCAAGATGGAAAATAGTTAGAGGATCTTATACTCATATCTGAGAACTTTTGTAAATGATTGTCCTTGACATTTAAAAAAAGTAGTAACTTGTAGATTCATTGATTGTCATACAATCTTCATTAATACTAAAATATTTTTTTATAATTTTAAATTAATTTCTTTAGTATTACTGAATAGTACATTGTTGTTTACAATATTTAAAAAAATGTTTGGATAAACCATTTCAATAATAAATCAATGATGTGTAACTGTAGAAATCTTTACTTTTTATATGTAATAAGAAAGGTTTTACTAGTCAGTCAGTTCCTCAGTGGCTCAGTTGTAAGTCTCAGAGTCTATAAAATTGAAATTAAGGTTTGGTTCCTATGGCAGATACAGTGCAGCAAGCCCATTGTATAGCTTTACACTAAAACTAGCAGACCGGTTTTTGTGCTTGTCAGTTTTCAAAGTTGGCAGAGCAGAATTGAGAGTCAGCCAAAGCCATATCTTAAAATGATGAATAATATTAGTTGAACCTGTCATTTCAGCATGCACCTTTTTATAGGTTTCACAGAATCACAGACTACAAGTATGGTAATGGCCCCCATATAGGTCATCAGTAACTTTTATGAACTTACAATGCTAAAATCTGGGGCTCAATTCCCTGCAATGAACAGATTGCAAATAGCTCATTATATTCATTGTTTTTTTGTTTTTATTCTTTTACACAAAGTATATTTGTGTGTACCTGACATTTATCTTACTGGTATGAACTGTTTTGTATTAAGTTTTCAATGTTTTCTTAAAATTATTTTTTACCCTTATTCAAGTTTAATCTTTGTTGTTATCTATGGATTGTTTCCTCAAATGTCTGTTTTTTTAGTTATTGTTATACCTTTTGTATATGTTATTAACTACTCTTTTCTTTTTAGTCACAGTTAGTTAAACATCAAGCAGAATTTGTCATCGGTGATGCTGTTAACCCTTGAGAAAAAATGTGTATTGCAAAACATTAGTTTTAAATAAGTACTTTTATTTTATGGGGGTTATATAATTCAGAAATGGTCTGTTGACCTTGAAAGCAGTTGTTCTTTTGATAATAATCTTTGTTGTTATTTTTTAACATATTTGAGGTGGAATTCTTAAAAAACCCTATGAAACAAGAACCCCAGCAAGATAAAACAATTGTGAAGGATGGACAGTTACCAATCTCAAAACCTCTAAAAGCTCACAGGTAAATGAACTTTCTATAAATGTGTTTTTACTGTGAAAGATTTGTTAGTACAATGCTTTCGTTATTTAGTGAACACGTAAATCTAATAATGTAAATTTCATTCATTAGTCAGTGGTGTTAAAATGGATAAGAAATGAATGTTTAATGTAGGGATGAAAGAACTGCTATAATGGGATAATTTTATTATGGATTTAAAATGGAAAAAGCATGTTGTTAAAACATTGGTGATACTGAAATTTAAAAAGCTATAAAACCTGGCACTTTCAGCAAGTAGCTCTTTCTTCTTCAGGGATAAAGGCAGAATGGTTAAGTGGAGTGTAAAATATGGACATAAGTTAAAAACAGGAAGTCGTGTTTATGGTTACATGGGTGTGGAATTGCTTTATGTGTTGTGTGGAACAACAGATGTGAAAGTGAAAAGTTAGAAAAACAAAGAACAACTTACCAGTATTTTTGTTTGTTTTATGTTATTTATATATTATTATTTTATACAAAACTGACACAAACATGAAATAGTACAAAATTAAGAATGAACTATGTTAAATGGAAGACAATGTCTAAATTGAATTATTTGATAAAATCCAAAAATAAAAAGAGTAGGTTAATAAAATTATTGTTACAAATAAGGAGTAAGCAAAATATTAGAAATGTTACCAGGTATAAAAGTTCTAAAATAAATAAAATAGATAGATAGAGGTAGCAAATAAAAAGTCAAAAGCTGAAATTTAATATTAACTGACAGAGAAAATATTTAAAGGTCAAATGTCATTGATGCTAGAATCAAGGTTAACGAATAACTATATTAAGAGCAACAATGCAGTAAGCTTTTGTCATCTCTATCTGCTTTAGATTGGAATCTAGTTTTGATACCTAAGGGAGATTTAGTTGGTTTTAAGTGTTCATCAGCAGTAAGGTACTTTTGAATAGACAACTTGTAGTTGTTAAAATATTGTTTAAAGGTCGTTTAGGTCTGTCCAATATAATGAAGGTAACGCTTTTATATACTGTGTAGGATAGATGATATTCTGCATAGTGCAAATAATCTTTTTGTATATCTTATAGTGGCTGTTTGCACATTTATTAGGGAAAGTTTCTGTAATTTTCATGAACTTGAAGGTCTAAAAGTTAACTTTATTATCAATTTAGGAACCATTTTATGAGAGTGTAGAGCTAATTTTAGCAGGAACCAGAATACCTTTGAAATTTTTTGTTTTTCCATAAGAAACAATAGGAATTTTAGAGAAAACATGTTATTTAACAATCATTTAGTTGAAGTAGATGAAAATGTTTTCAAAATGCATAAGATGTTCTTGAGTTTTGGATGAAACTTATATACAAGAGGAATTGCATATGACCTTTTAGTGTTGTTTCAGAACAGCTTCTCATTGAGTGTTTCTGACATTTTCAAACTATTTGTCAGGTTTTTATTGGGGCTGTGATTCTTTACAGTAGGTGCCCGTGACTTGTTGGCAATAAACTTCAACAATAAACAGAGAGCACACAATCCACTTGTTTTAAAATAAAATATTCAAAACAAGTCAAATGTATTCACAAAAATTTGTTACACTGTTGGTTATCACAGTTGTATCCAGAGCTGTAAGTAATTGTCTCTTTTTCGTAAAAGTTTACACAGGCTGGTTCAGTTACTTTAGAACCAAATTGATAAGACTGATTACTTCATCTTTATCTCTGTTATTACAATACAAGCTGTGATACTTTCACTTTAGGAATTACCCGTTACTGCTAAATTCACACAGTCTAACTTCACTTTTACTTTCACTTTCACAAACTTAACTTGCTCTCTGTATGTACACATATTTATAACACATGACAGAAATATCTAGCCCTCTAGTATCAACATGACATATAATGAAAAAAAACTTAAAAGCTTCGAGTAAAATAACGTCACCAATTTTACAAAAGCCTAGTACAACAATTAAACTACATTAATAATGGACAACTTGTACAGATTTATATCACAAAACTTGCCATGACTGTTGGATTTAAAATAATTAACTTCTAAACTCTTGTTATGAAAACTAAACAATCATTAAATATTAAATAACTAAATAATAATTCTTGAACTGAATAGTCTTGTATATCCAACATTATCAGTCTCAAAATCTTTATCATCTCTTTGTATCATAGTTTCTTTAGTACTTCTTTGTGTTGTTTGTAAATATTTTTGTCAGTACAACTTTTCTTGATGCATAAGGCTAGACTATGTGTAACATTTTATGTAGTGTTGTTGAGGGGCATCTTTAGCTATAAAAATATTGTGGTCTATTTGCTGGTTTTCTGTGTAAGACAATATATAGATGATCATCTTTCATAGAAACAGTAACATGAAGAAAACCTGCATGTAGGTACATAATCAAGTGTAGACTTTCTAGCTTTGTGAAATGGGTCAATATGCAGTTTTACTTTTGTTGGTCCAAGTAAAAAAAAAAACGTGCATCTGTATAATGTTTCAAAATGGGTAATTTCACGATAATTTTCTCTAAGATTTATTTTTCAGTATCATCTATAAACATGATTGCAAAATTAAGAGTTATCTGAGAACTTATGGCAGTATTTATAGTCTGAATATATTGCTTATTGTTGATTTCAAAGTTATACAACAAGTCTAACTAATTCAATGAATTTTTGATATTCAGATGGATTAGATAATTTAAGTATAGTTTCAGAATCTCCAGTACTTCCTTCATATGAAATCTTAGGATAAAAGGAAGAAACATCTATAGTTTAGAGAAGACTGTTTTGGAGTGATGGTTATATTGTCAATTTCTTCAGTCATGTTCATGAAATCAGTTGTGTCTGTGGTTTAAGCTTAAGTTGACAATGGGTCATTTTTATGTTGTGGTAAACATAGTAAATAACTCTTCAATTACCATGTTTGTGTTAGAAATGATGGAATGGTTTGGATTATTATATTTGTGTAGTTGAAGTAAGAAGTAAGTTTGATTGACCAGTTGTGATCCAATGTCACATGTTAGCTTATGTGGATCACTTGTGTCATTGGGCCCAAAAAACAATTTGAAAATTTAATTTGAATTTATAAAAGCCTAGAATAACATACCAACATAATATGTTTTTTATTTATGTAATTTTAGAAAGTTAAATGCTGGATATAACTGTGGAGGCAAATAATGCTGACACACATGAAAATTGGAAGTTTAGGTCTTAGAAAGAATTATTCTTAGACTTTGAGCTATGATCTGTGGCATGGATGACAGAATAATATAACTGTCTTTCTGCAGTGTGTATAAACCCTGTTACTTCAAAACATAGAGCTCAACTTGCAGGAATAGTGTCATGGGATTGAACCTCGTCACAAAATGTGCTCAGCCTTGCAGCTGTTGGGGAGTTATAATGTTATGATAAATCCCACTATTCCTTGGTAAAGAGGATTCCAAGAGTTGGCAATGTGGTGGTGTTGACTAGTTGGTTTTCCCTTAATCTATAACTTCAAAATTAGGGATGGCTAGCAAACTAGCTTTGGGAGTATTCATACTTGTATTCAAATATTTTGGGAGGAAAAATTAAAATATTCATTTCACATACAATGGAATAGTATTCATATTTGCTGAATGATTTAGTGAATACTTAATACTGTAACTTCAAAATTAGGGATGGCTAGCAGACTAGCTTTGGGAGTATTCATACTTGTATTCAAATACTTTGGGAGGGAAAAATTAAAATATTCATTTCACATACAATGGAATAGTATTCATATTTGCTGAATGATTTAGTGAATACTTAATACCATAACAGTAAATGTCAACTTTTATACTCATCTAATTTCTAGACTATCATTATTACATCTGCAGCACGTTAAATGAGGTCAGTACTCTCCAACCACTTTAAAGGTTATTGTATTACATGGTTGTTAATCCAGTCAAATCTTTTAAGTGAATATGAGATGGCTACTTAACTGCCTTCAGTGGTACAGGAACACTTCCTACTTCCTACTGCTAGATCTGGTTACATCAAAGCAAAGTAAATATTGTGAGTGGACTATTTCCACTTCAGGAAAACCACTTCTGATCTGCTGACACACCTGAAGGTAAGTCTTTTTATTATTTTTGTTAATATGAACTATATTCTATGTAAATTATACAATATAATATAGGTAAACTAAATTTTTCATGCATGTTAAACAATATTATTAGCCACGGCATAGTGACTCATAGAACAGCTCTGAATTTTTATTTTTGGTTGTTGTTTTTTTTTCAAGTACAAACTTTTAGCTCATACCGCCATCATCTTTTGACCGATTTGAGATCTAATTACACTATTGGACTCAGGATGTCAAACCCTTTCAATTGATGTATTTGAC